GTGCTTTATATATACGTTATTATCGTAGTCCTCCTATCTAATATTATCTTAATAGTATTTATCGTAATAAATAGGGTTTAATCGGAATATAAGCCGACTTTAATTATATTCGTCTATATATAGGATCTATTTACGACTTTCTTATTCGAATTCTACTTTTATTCGTAGCTCGATTTAGTAGTTACGTAGGAGAAACTAGTATATAGCCTTCTCCTTAAAATAGTATTTATAATCGTTATAGACGTATTCGGGTTAGAATAATTAATAGTATTATTCGTAAGCGTAGTAGAGTACTAGATAGTCTCCTATTATAAGTTATACGTTTTCTTTTATACTTTCTTACTTTTAGGCACTAGCCTTCTATAGCTTAGTCCCATAATAGATAAGTTCATCCTATAATATAAGGGGATCGTAATCCTTATTAGGGCTATTAACTTCGTATACTTATATAAGTATATAGGGTTAGGTCTATCCGAGTAGAGATTCTTCTTTATTAGCTCGTATATATTTATCCTATTCTATATCGTTTATTAGTCCTACGTAGGGAGCTAATTATAGTTCTAAGTAAGCTTATTTATAAGCCCTTTCTTCGTTTATATCGATTTCTTAGGTCTCCGGCGTTACTTACTAGGCCTATTTCTAAATTCGTCTTTCCTTCTTAATAGTAATTATTATAGCTAGGGTTCTTTATCCTATAAATGCCCTAAGGAACTATCTATTCTATTCCTTATTATCTTTATAAGTTAAGTAATCGTCCTAGTAATAGAAGGTCTAATTAATTTTAGCGTAATCCTAGTATTAAGTATAGTTAAGCTATCGTTCGTTTATAGGTTTCTAGGGTTTCTTAGGTTACTAGTATTCTCGAGCTATATACCCGTTTTTACCGTAATTATAGTATTTTATATCCTTAAGATCCTTCGGTTTACTATATCTAATATTATCGAGCTCTATAAGTCCTATATAGGTAGTCTATCCCTAAGCTATATTAATATAGGGTTTATCGTACTAATACTTATATCCTTAATTAGATCGATAATAGGGAATATGAGGGTTCTATAATCCTATAGCGGGCTTTTATCCCTTTTCTATTCTATATTCGTACTAGCGATCGTTAATTTTAATAGCTATAGTAATATACTCGGTAAGGGTTTCGGGTCTATCCTCCTAGATAAGATCGTCTTTAATAGCGTCTTTAAGTCCTTCGTAGAAATAGGCTATAAGAGCGGACTCTATTTAATCGAATCGATTAGCTAAGAGTCGAAACTCCGTAGCGTATTTAGTAGCTAGCCTGGTCTATTTAAGCTAAAGGATTTTTCTTTCGTTTTATCGTTCCTCGTCTACGTCCTTAAACGCTCCTTTAATAGCTTCTTCGAATACGTTTATACCTACGTAGATATCCTAAGTAGCCTACTTTATATCTTCTTTCTTAATATAAGTAGAATAGTCCCTAATAAAGGGTTCGAACTAGTATAAGGCGTCCCCTTTAAGGTAAGAGGAGGCGTTAGCGACCTTCTCGCCCTAGTATTTAAGTTAGCCCTTATTAGCTTTATAGTATTAGTATACCTAGGTAATAAAAGACTGAAGTGCCCTAGGGTTACCGTCGAATAATTAAGGGGGAAGAGCTTTTATACTCGTTCCGCCTTAAAGTTATTATATTAAGGCTCGGAGCTATTCGTTCTCTGAACGGAGCTCCTAGATTATAGTAGCTAAATTATTAGCGCTATTTCCGACGCTATTAATAGATATTATTCCTATAATAAGTATTACTTAGTATTATAAAGTAAACCTACTAAATAAGAGTAATTAAAATATTACGACTTAGTAGCTTCTAAAGGGGGAATATTATTAAAGGGTTAGGGTTACTATTTATAGAAGCTTAGGTTATAACTCTAAGACGATATAGTATCGTAAGGCGTTACGTACTTATTATAATAAATATAAAGTAAGACTTAGATTAATTACTATTATAAGAAAGAATATATCTATAAATCTAGAATATCCGTCCTTATATACCTACTATCCTATCCTTATTATATTAAGTAGTAAGCCTATATTAGATAGCTTATTAATTAGTTATTAATAATCTATAATATTAGGATTACGGTATATTATCCCGTAAGCTATTCCCTAGCTCATTGCGGCGTCCTTAGTGAGCTCGACGACTCACCCTTTATATCTAAGTAAGCTATTACGTGATTTGCTAGGTGGGCCCGATTCTTATCTTATCGCGCTCCCTGATCGCGGGGTCGTCGATTCGCGGCCGCCCTGCTTCCTTGGTTATTACACGTATCTATAGAGATACTTAATCGTATCTAGGGATATCTATATAATCTCTATAAGGTTTATTTAGGTAGTAAACCTCTTAAAAAAGGCTAAGTAATTAAAGGGGATAGTATTATCCTAATTAACGATAAGGGCTAACCTATCCTATTAAGGCTTCCTAGCTTTATAGTTAGTACGAGTCGTTAATCCTCTATTCTAGGCGGTTACCCTAGGGCGTATAGCTATTATATTAGCTAGGTCCTCTAATAATACCCCTCGATAGGATAGTTAATTAGGTAATAATACTTATAACCTAAGTATATTAAATTCTAGTCTTATTTCCCTAGAAGTAATTAATAAACGGGCTTTCTATTTCTTCTTAGTTAATAGTCTAATAATAATTAAGAATACCTATATTAAAGTAGAATCTAAGACGTCTTTAATTATTTCTAGTTTAACGTAAATAATCTTATCGTTAAACTTAATATTATATAAATAAGAATTAATTATAGTACTTATATTTAATAGAATAATATTATTATCCTAGGGTTAAGCTAAGTTATTATCTCTAGATCTAGAAGACTTAACCTCTATAATAATACCTACCTTTATTAGCTATATAGTAATATTATCTATAGCTAGGCCTATACTTATAAAGGCTATATTAGATATAGTATTCTAGGCTTCGATACCCTTCTAGTATAGGATATCTACTTCCTATTATTAGAGTTATATAGCTATAAAGTTATATTTACTAGTAAGCGGGGTATATCCCTTAATATTATAAATATAGTATATTACCCTTATATAGCTATTAGCTCTAGTTAAAGACTATATCCTATTAATAAAGGGGTTAATTAATTATAGTAGCGATTAGCGGCTATCCTAATTTCCTATATTCTATTATAGTTACTAAGGTACTTAAGCTTAGGGGCGTTATTAATATAATAGCTATACTAGAGGCTTAGAGGTAAACGATCTTTATTAGCCTATCTATTAAAGCTTATAATATAGGCCTAGTAGGATTTAATATACCTAAGTAATATACTTAGTACTTTAATATCTATTCGCTAAATTAAATATTATTTATATAGGAATAGGAAGGGCTAGCTTCTAAGTAAAGCTCTAGGCTTAAATAAGGTTAATTAGCTAATATTATATAAGAACTTATTTCTATAATATCTAGATCTATTAAGGGATAGGGTAAATAATTCTAGTAAATATAATAATTATTAATAATATAATATTACTATCTTATTAATTATCTAATAATAAAAGGCTATAGAACTTAGCTAATACTCTCTTTATACTTTTACTTTACTAAGCTCGTACTATTTATTTAATAAGATTAATCTTAGTCTATTCTACTTAAGCCTTTATAATAAGTTTTCGATCCTTAATAATCTATCTAGCTTATTAGATAAGGGTATAAGTATCTCTTAGACTATCTACTTATATAGTAGACTTCTTAATAGACTCCTAGCGGAGCTCGAGGTCTTATAAGCCTTATATAAATTAATATACTACTTAGGATAAATAATTATACTCTAAGATAAATAGAGGTATAGCTCCTAGGTCTCTAGAGTCTCGACCTCTAATATGTCTTAGGTAGGCCTAAGCTCTAAAATAGTATCTATTAAGGGCTTCTCTAAGGTATTATTCTAGGGTTATAGGCTTATTATCGATTATATCTACGATAATAATAGAGAATCGCTCCTTTAATAAAGTTTCTACGAGAAGAGCTTTTATAGGTCCTAGGTTAGGATAATCTAAAGTATTCCTTATAATTATATAAAAGTCTAAGAATATAGCTATAATTCTATTATATAATCGGTTTATTATTACGAGGTATTATCGAGGGTCTAGGGGTAATTATTTAATATAATTAAACTCGTATCTTAGACGATTTATTTATTTAATTATAGATTATTTATTATCGAAAGTACTATAATTAATAAAAATAGGTAATCCTATTATAGCTAGAGGTCTAAGGGCTATTAACGATATAATCTATTATTAAAACTAATTAGGACTTAAACCTTAATAAGAGGGACTTAAACCTTAATAGCTAAAAGGTAAATTTTAATAAATAATAGAAGGTATTCTAGGGAGCTAAAGTAATAATATTAAGGAATAGGTTTATAATAACGGGGCCTCTATAGAAGTAATACTATTATTACCTAGACTATAATCTTATAAATAGGAAGATTCTAGACCTCTATTAATAGAATTTAATATAATAGGAGATAATAGATATATTAATATAGGATAAATAGATAGATTAAGAATAGGAGATTCCCTAGAAGGTCTTATTAATACCTAAGAGCTAGCGAACTAAATAGGAATAAACTAGCTTATTATTAAGGAAGTTAATATCTATAATCCCTAATTATAATAAGAAAGCTTAATCGATAATCGGCCTAATTATCCTAATATTCCTACTTCTAAACTTATACTAGATCTATCTAGTAAGATTACTTTAATAATCGTCTATAATTATTATAATATCGTAAATATCGCTCTAAAGTAATTATATAGATATATATATAATTAATAACTTAAGCCTATATTACTAGGATTACTTAATAGGGCTACGGATAGGGATATTAATATAAAGCCTATAATAAAATCCTATTAATAGGATTCTAGTAATCTTATATATCGGCTTAGATCGAATAGCGACGATAGATATATATCTTTAGAGATATATTAATTATATAGAGATAAGGATATAGTTATTAAATCTCGATTATCTAATAATAATAGTAGTATTATCGTATATATTATAGTACCTCTTTAATAAGATAGTACTATAACTATTAAAGATATAAATATAAATGGTAATAATTAAGTAAATAATTAGGACGGAACTAATCGAGTACCCTACTATAGTCACTAGAGATAAAAATCAATAAGAATTACTAAGAAGCTAGCAGAGATCGTATAAGTAATAGGGGTTTAAAGTTAGTTATATTAATTAGAAAGAGAAGTCAAAAATGGATATCTAGTAAACCTTCAATGCTATATGCCCTCGCCTAATGCATACCCCCATTGCATTGCATTCTTCATCCCGCACTCCCAGTGCCCATCCACCGTAATCAGGTCCCTGGGTAGGTAGATTCCCTGTGTAACTAGATGGACCCTGCCTTCCGCTGGCGGCCGAGTGGTCACTGAGCAGGACCTTACTATGTAGGTCGTCTGAATGAGTTCCAATTTTCACCTGCTGCATCACCTGCTGCATCGAACCTGCCCCGTGGTTGAGTGAATGGGCGCCGGGACGCCAGGAAGGGCCAAACAAACTCGACAAGGGGCGGAGCAATGGCCTCGAAGAACTGCACAAGCGGCAGGAGCGGACGGAAGGGGAGGGAACAGGAGCGCTAGCTGGGTCTTCCTGCCGTGTCCCTGTCCCTGTCCATGCTGCAGGCGCAGCTGCGCCTGCGCCTGCACTTGCTTGTAAAGTTGCGGTTGTGGTCATGGTCCTGGTTCTGATCCCGGTTGTGACTTATGCCGCACCACTGGCGCCCGGGTGCACCTGCTGCATCTGCACTGTGTTCTGATCTTCCCACCCTTCCTAGGTACATAGTACTGTACCCTTCTCCTTCTCCATGCGTCCCATTTGTGATTTGTGGTGAAGGATTATCAGTCATACCCCCCGAGCGGGCCTCCTCCGTCATCGAACCGTCTCTCATCACACTCAGGGTTCAAGCCTCCATCGCTCAGTGGTCAGCTCATTTGGACCTTTGAGTCCGGCCCGGCTGAAGTCTGTGTTCTGCGGGCGTTCATTTGACTGACCAAACTTGTCAGCTCTGCTGGCGCACGCAAGGCGCTGAGACACGCTTCACCGAAAGTCTCCCTCGACACGTCCCCGAGGTTTTTAAGACACAGCTTGTCTCGCCAGGTGCCTCTCACGCATGACGGGTAAGGTTGCGTGTTTCTTGTCTTCGGCACTGTCGCCCATCATGGCAATCCCGCTCATTACTGCCACACAACAGTACTGCGGACCCAACCGTCTGGATGAAGGAAGACGCATCAGTACACCATCACCCCTCCCTCTCTCGTTTCCACGCATCCGAGCAACCTTCGGCTGTCGGCGTCGTTGCGCGTTTTGCCCTCTGCCCCAACATGGTGCTGCTAGGCCTTGCCTGTTGAGTTGGCCAATTGCGCAATAAATAAGCGCGGTGGTTATCTTGGTATCGCCGGCCTTCTCTACCAATGTCCGTCCGCTGCTGCGCCCACAAATCGTCCCGTCTATCCATGCGCATTCACATTGGCCTGATCGTCTGAGCGTTTGGTGGGAATGTAGGTGGGTATCAGATGGTGGTGGTGGTGGGCGGGCGGCACCCGTCTCCAGCGCTTCTCCAGGCGATCCACAGACCCGGGCCAAGTAGGTCCGCCTCGACTTGTCCGATGGCGCCCCTCTCCCCAGTTGCATCCAAGGTCCGTTGGAATGTCACTCAGCAACAGAGGCACTCGTGAACGACTGAAACTTGCGCAGATCCATCTGCCATCGCACGCCAGCTCCATCATCGTGTGCCTTTCAGGTAACGTGGTCAGCGTCATCAAATCCTCCGGGTCTGTAGCATATTCATGCCTGGCTGTTCCAGGACCTGATCGGGGATTCGTGTCATGTTCTCATGTGGCTACAAGCTTCCAGGCTCTGAGGCCCCTGAACTGAAGCCAGATTGCTGCTTCGGGCCAAGAGTCTACAGTACCGCTGAAGGCTACTCCGGAATACAGGAAATCGGAACCTGCACAGCATCCATCAAGCTGATCAGCGTCCACGACATCCGCTCGCGTTCTTTCGTCACACACCTCGTCACAGACCTCGTCACATCACGTCGCACTAGGAGCAAGTCTTTATTTTTGTGTGCTCAAACCAGTCTGCGCTGCATGTCTGTGATCTAAGTGACATACCGTCAAGCCCGAAATCACATCAACCGGAGGAGTGGCCGAGCGGTCTAAGGCGCTAGCTTCAGGTGCTAGTCTACATTGTAGGCGTGGGTTCGAATCCCATCTCCTTCATCATTTTAATCTCTTTTGTCATGATATGGCACAACCCATTTTTTGACTACAAGTATCGCCTGTGAGACAGGTAGCACGTCTCTCATTCGACCAAAACCTGACACATTCTTTTTGCAGAACATCACCTATTGCATATTGACTCGCACGTTTGTCAAGCGTTTCAACGCCTCTCAACACCCCCAGTCCGAATCCTTGCACGGCACTACCGCCGCTGTAGTCTGTCGTGGAATGACCGAAAGGTGACCAGTACAAGTGCTTTCTTACGCGAGTCACTCAGGGCTGCATCGGCTTCAGTTCTGACTCTTGCACAAATACAACCTGTTCTTGACGGCGAACCCCTTGGAGGATACCCTGCAACGACGGCCCGTACGTTAGTCAAGGCTGACCAAAACGCGCCGAGCCGGAGGACCACGATCGAAACCGAGCAGGCATGTCCGGGGCTAGCCGGAGGTAAGTATGCTCAGCCAAACACGGTAGCAGTGACGGAGATTGGGGACCAGGGCCAGGATGTTGACTCTCCTACTGTGCCATGGCACGTCACAAGAATCTGACCGCTGCATCTGCCAGGAGAAAAGTCATTAAGCGAGGTAAGTAGTCGCTCGGATCAGCGTCTGATCTGCAGGGGCCGCCGGCTGGCCCGGAAGTGCTTCAATTTGGGGAGAACAACAGAAGGACCCCCTTCGAGAGCCACCGGCGACGGAGCTCGGCTGCCGGGCCCAGGCATGTGCCTTGTGAGACTGTCCGCAGCGTCTGCCGAACAGAAGGCCCTCGCGCCGGACCGGAAGAACGGCCCCACATGGGAGGGAGGCCGATTCGGCTCCGGGAGCATGTCGGCGTGGTCAGTCCTTAGAAAGGTGAATGCAAGTGCCTGAGTATGTTTGGATGAATACTCAGAATGTCGAGGAGGAAAGTCTGCAAGTCGATTTTTGGGGGTCCTGAGAAACGTGATCGTGGCCTGCATCTGAAACTGCCTGGCCTAGTTAGTAGTGCTCTCACTTGAGCTCCTGGATTGTCAAAACAGACCTGCAGGTCTCAAAACAGACCTACAGGTCTCAAAGCAGACCTACAGATCGCATTACTTGACCTCTTTGCCCCTCAAGTCTCACTCGATTAGTCTTCCACGTTGTGTTCTCTATTCCGTGTGAGAGGAGCTGACCCAAAGTCGCCAGCCTCTGGGAGAGCATCATCCACCCAATCAGGCGCCTTATCGCTGCCAATGTCCCTACGCGCCGCCCCTCCAAAAGCTCGCGGCTACAGGCCCCCAACCAGGGCGCATCGCAGCCAACATGGAATACCATTGGACGGCAGCACCATTCCCATGGCCTTCCTGCTCACGAGTCCGCCCAGGCAATGCATGTCGGTCGGTAATGCTGCCGGATCCTGCGGCATGCGGCATGCGGCCTGTCGAGTGGCCAGGTGGCCGAGTATCTGAACCCTGGAAAATGGATTGACCTCCCAAGCTTCGAGAGCTTCCTCCCCCGCCCCGGTTCTTTATATCGACCTGGCACTGCTGTCGCGAGGCGCGCCACCTACTCTTCCTCTTTGTCCGTTAATTCAGCTTCTTTGATCAGGGATTTGACGATTGCCTTTGCTGCCTCCCCGTGGTTCAATAGGCAGGAGCACCCTAACCGCAACAAAAGAATTAGACAGCTCAGTATTGTTGCGCTTGTGTCGCGTGGCTGTGCTTGAGGTTGAGGTGAGAAGGCTCCGTCGCGACAACAGGATGCGGGGGAAGGACTGTACCCAGTACCTCTCGTCTCTCGACTTCCTCCTCCGTTCTGCCCTTGTGCTTACGGGCTGACCTGTCATCAACAGCTTTTGCAGCACCGACTTGAGACACGGCGGTCGACCGAGGTACAGAGCCGCTTTTTTGGGCAACAAGACTACATCTCATATTGGCAATCATCACCATGTCGCAACAATTTGATCCCCGTCGGTGCATCCATGCCTTCTCAGATCAAGCGCCAATACTCACGATCAAATAGCTCCCTCCTCGTCCTCCGGCAAGAGATTCTTTGGCAGTTCGTTACTCGTTACTTCTCGGAACTTGCTTTCGCGCTGGCGTTCCCGTTGACTGACCTTTGCCAGTACCTCGAAAGAGCTACCCCGCGCCTCCCGCCGCTGCCTCGATCCCGCTTCCAACCTCCCCTCCCGCTCAGCAAACTACATTCTCATACCCTCTTCCTCCACAGGGCGCTCAATCTGGCCAGCATCAACCAACAACATTCTCGGTGCCACCTCCTCAACAGCCGTCGCCGTCTCTGGCGCAGCCAAAAGGATATCCACCTCCGCCATCCGCTGGGCAGCCGGGCGAGGCCGCTCATTACCCCGCGCCCCCGTCAGCACTTCAGCCAGGCCACAGCTACCCAGCACCTCCCCAGCAACAGCCCTCGCCACAATCGTCGCGAACAAACTCATACCCGCCTCCTCCACAGGCTACAAGTCCCCCGCTTGCTCAGAGCGCCACGCAGTATCCTCCTCCCCCGTCACAATCACCGCAGCAACAGCAACAGCACAACTACCCGTTGCCCCCGGTTGATCAGCTTCAGCAGCAGCAGCAGCAGCAGAGCCAGATTCCTCTGCACACAGTGGCAAGCCCGGACAGCCAACAGCACTCAACCGCGACGCCACCGCCCCCTGCTGCATTTGACGGGCCGCCATCCTTCGATGGACCACCTACGGCGGCCTACCCCCCAGAAAAAGGGCAAACCTTTGACCGAGATAGCGACGAGGACGAGGAGGATGAAGTTCCGAACCAGGGGCCGGTCAAGTTCATCTCGGGCGCTCCGCCCCCGGAGCTCTTTGTGGGCGCGACCGGCACGTCTGCCGTGGACGATGTCGGCACGTTCAACGGAGGCAGCTATCGCATCAGCCATCGCGACAGCAACACCATCCTCACCATCCAGCTGGCCGTAGGTTGTCCCCTGAAGGCGAAGCCGGGCACCATGATTGCCATGTCGCCGACCGTCACTCTGCGGGGCCAGCTCAAGTTCAGTATGAAGAAGCTCGTGGCCGGCGCAGAACTCGCCCAGTCAACGTTCACGGGCCCTGGCGAGGTCCTCCTGGCCCCCGCCATGCTGGGTGATCTGACGAGCATCCGCCTGACGGGCAAAGAATTCTGGTCCGTAGGCCAGGATGCCTACGTCGCGTCGACGCAGGGCGTCATTTGCGACTACAAGCGCCAGGGTCTCGGCAAAGCCATCTTCAGCGGCGAGGGCCTATTTGTGTACAAGATCAGCGGGACCGGTCTACTCTGGATCACCAGTTTCGGTGCCATCATCCGTAAAGATGTGAGAGAGTGCTGAATGCTGAGTCGATTTTTTTCGTCACTGACATGAGAACAGTTGATCCCTGGCGAGAAGTACATCGTCGACAATGGACACCTTGTCGCGTGGAACACAAAGTACATCATTGAGCGCGTGGCTTCGGGTGGCATCATCTCGGGCATCTCCTCAGGCGAGGGGCTCGTCTGCAAATTCACAGGACCAGGCACTGTCTACATGCAGACCCGTAACCCTGTAAGTGACGCCAGCTGGACTGTATATTCTGCCCTGAGCACGTAACTGACCATGCGACAGAGGGCATTCCACGCATATCTCAATGGTAGCACCCACCAGTCATTCTAGGTAGCAACCATTGGCACACTGGGTACGACCCTCATGTCTCAATGAAGAGTGGGGTTGTTGTGAGAGAGTTTTACGATGGTTTTGGTTTGGAGACACGAGAGTCCCGTGTGTCGAAAATGGGTTCGTATGATCCGTTCTTTTGGCGTTGTGGCCAATCAAACAGAAGCATCTCCTGGGTGAGCTGAAGCATCTCCTGGGTGAGCTGAAGCATCTCCTGGGTGAGCTGAAGCATCTCCTGGGTGAGCTGAAGCATCTCCTGGGTGAGCTGAAGCATCTCCTGGGTGAGCTGAAGCATCTCCTGGGTGAGCTGAAGCATCTCCTGGGTGAGCTGGTGTCAAGGTTCAATAAGCATCTAGATTGTTCAGCGTCTAGCCTTGATCAAGACAGTCTTTTCGGCTCATCTTATGCGATTCTATGATGAAAGTTGTGACAAGTCTTGGAAGGTACAAGGCGGTATGCAAATCCGCGCAGTGGAAGAAGGCGCCACGACGCTGTCGTTGCTTCCCCCAGAAGCCAAGGGCTTGTCGCCAGCAGGACTGAGACGTCGAACGGCCCATGGTGTCTGTGTCTAAAGTACCTAGCTTGTCACCAGCCTCCCGCCGTCACCAACATCACGAACAACACCTCCTCGAGCCAACTTCTTTTTCGGACACGCATCACACCCTCACCTCAGCCCTTAGAGTGCGAAGCGGTTTTTTGGCAAGCATTCTGTTTCCATGCAAGCAGCGATTCGGGTCATATTCTGGCAAAGCCCCACTGCCTTTCCATCTCGCATCGTGGTCTCTAATTCGGAAGCGAAGCCTCTCCAACAACCGAGCACGACATCGACAGGAAACAAATAAAGCTTGGCCTTGATTGCATTGGTACCGATTGTTAAAAGGCCCATTCAGCTTTACACCTGATTGCACATAAACCCGTTGTCGACTCTCGTACCGAAGAGCCTTCTTGAAGACAAAAGGTTAGCTCCCCTCACGATTGCTCCTTGGCGATAGGTTTCGCTGAACAGCGCCTACTACAGGCACGGCCTTGCTTCCTGGCTCTTGACGCGCCTCTAATTTCAAGAACCTCTTCCTCTTGCTGGCAGCTTGACTACCTCAAGGTTCTCGTCATCAACTACAGCAACCCACTCCACGACATCCACCAGGAACACGGTCTTAAGCTGTGATCGGATTTGATTCAACTTTTCGTTTTGGCTATAAAGACTGCAAGCGAAAAATCCGCGTATCACCCTTAACCAATTACCGCACAAAAGATGTCTGTTTCATCCACGAAGAGCAACGCCAAGCTCATTGAGGCTCTCCACAGCACCAACTGGCGCCAGCCAGTGATGTACTTTCACGAGGATCATGGTGGTCCGGCGGTTGACAAAAAGAAGCGAAGTCGTAATAGTTCCTCCAGTCTTGACCCCGGTTATCACTCTGCCCACCAATATGGCTCCGTTCACGAAGCTTCTCCTGTACGAGTCGCCAGTAGCAGTCACTCCATCGCAGATCCATTCTCAGATGCCAGCGGCTGTGTCATCAAGGGTTCAAAAGATACGCACAGCAGCAGCGTCGGCCTCTTAAGCGGCATTGCCGTGGCTGACGATGCTGTTGCAGTTCCTGCCAAGCGAGCTGCTTCTGCGTTCCTGGACATCCACCGGTCGTCTCGAAAAGGACCAGAGACTTCGACTTTTGTCTTCGACTTTGTTTTTCAGCATGACGAATGCTACGACAAAAAGACATGCCGTACCCACAACGGTGACTTTCCGATGGCAGAAATTATGAGCATCGAGGACCCCGATCATCCATGTTCGCCGAGTACTCCAACAACTCGACCTGCGCCTGAGGATACAGACGAGACACACACTTCTCGAACACAGTCCCGCGAAGACCCGACGAACCCCTGCAACAGTCCGGGTAACTTCCATGATGAGGCAGCCCGCGCGTCTGCCGCTATATTTACCGACTCCGCTGTACTAAACATTGAAGGCCTCCATACCCAAGACGCTCGCAAGACAAACCCTATATCTAAAGCTGATCAGTACAACGAACTCATGGCCAAGTTGAGCAAGGCTTCCAAGGAGAAAAAGATGCAAGAGATGATAGGTATGCGACCGATGGAGAATGACTGTCACAAAGCCCGTAGGTCATCTCACCGGCAACGGGACCAGTCAGACGACTCAGGCGTTGGCATCAGACCTACCGGCAGGCCACACCACTTGCCCACCAATCTCGATCCTACCGCAAAAGAATTCATCGTCGACGCTGCACCTTGTACTTCTACCACCCATGTCGTCAACAAGTCACCGAACGATAGGATCAGTCCTCGGGGCAGAATTGCTGCCAAAGAGAGAGCTTTCATCGACGCTATCAGCTGTCTGGCTGAGTACGCCAAGGAGTGCAAGAGCCTACAGGAAATGGTCCAAAACAACATACAGCAACATGATTGTACTGAGTTTGCCACGCAAGAGAGCTCAGTTCCGATGCCGGTTGTACCACCGGTCCCCAACGTACTTCCATTTGCCCCTCTCGCCGGCTATCCTAACACACCATGCATACCTGCTCCCAACCCATGCTTGCCTCCGAACGCGGGACCTCAAGGCGTCATGATGCCACCTCCGCCTGGGTTCGCGGGCCCTTCCTTTGGCTTTTCTGACAACCCACTACCAATGCTGCCGCCTTTCGGCCCCGCGGACACCCCCTTCCATATGATGCCTGGATTGAGACCTTTACCGACTCACATAGGACCCATCATGCATCAACCGCCCCCTCCTGGCTATCACGGCCCTTTACCCATGCCTCCTCCTGCTTACGGCTAGGGTCCTGGAGTTGGCTTGGGACCTTTCGGGCCCGGTTGCAACTTTGACAACCAATTGCCCCCTCCTCCGCAGCATTTACAGTGGCCGGCTCCTGGGCCCCCTATGCCCGCACAGTTCGCGCGACCAGTGGCGAAACCCAAAGACTCAAATACCCGGAGTCAGATGGAGTACGAAGCGCACATTGAATGGCGCAAGGCCAATGAGCCCGGGTATGCATTGAAGTGCAAGGAGAGACAACAGCGTCGTGCCATCCGCAACAGTCAAGGCAAGTCAGGATGCGCCATCCCCATCGTCGCGCCCGTCGTCGAGACCAAGACGCAAGGCTGACAGGCGGCGGAGCTCGGATGTCATGGCGAGGAACGAGCTATTCATATGGCAAAAGTAATGAAGAGAAACATCGATTTGGATAGCCTGGTTGGCCGGGAGTATGGTGCCATCACCGGGCCATTGTTAATCGCTTTTCAGAAATAGATGATTAGATACCCGGGTCACTCGAGTTGGCATGGTTTGATTGTGTCTTCTTATGACCCGCTTCTTCAAAGTTTTTCAATGAATGCTATGCTAGGACGCCTGTGCCTCCAACCTAGGCAGATTCATGAAGAAATCATTTCGAGGTACTTAGCTCCAGTCATCGCCATTGATTTTGCAGAAAGGCTCGAGCTCGCCCTCGCCAACCTCTCCGGCCTCACAGGGCTTGACACATCCGTTGTAGCGAGTGCAGACAACGCCGACCTTGGCCAGACAGTAGTTTGACAGCTCGGCGGTGTCTCCGTAGTTTTGGTTGACGCCCACTGAGAGTTCGATCCAGGTTAGTCGATAGCCACTTTTCGTCATTGTTCTCACACTTTGCGGGCATTGTGCCTTGAGACTTGGGGTTGTCACTCACCGACTGTGCCCTGGATGCCAACAAAGTTGGTAATGTTGACGTGGCGCTGGAACTGCTGGCTGCAGTTGCCGCAGGAGCGGTAGAACTTGCCGTACTTGTTGGCGTAGAAGCCGTCAATGTGAAGCCAGCCCTCGCCTGAAAGATGTGGTCATCGTTAGCAAACCCCATTCTCACGGGCTCCGGGGTTTCAAGGGGGGGAGGGGACGACTGACCGTTGTGCTGGAAGACCTTGTCGCTGGCCTCGCGGGCGCCCCCGCCGCGGACGTAGCGCGGGCCGGCGCCCTTGAAGGTGGCGGCGTCCTCGCAGACGTCGTCCCACCAGACGTTCTCAATGGTGCAGGGCCCGCGGCAGTGGACGCCCTCGGCCTGGGCGGGGCCGATGATGGCGTTGCGCAGCGTGGCGCCGGGCTCGAGGATGAAGACGGCGGCGGCCTCGTCCTGCTCCTTCTGGCCGCTGCAGTCGCCGGGGCTGCCCTTGCGGTCGAAGAGGGCCATGCGGCCGTCGAAGACGGCGCCTGCCGGGATGACCGACGCCGTCGGGTACGAGGTGCTGCCCGTCGGCGTCGGCCAGACTGTGTTGACGGCCGGGTGGGGGCACGAGACGCCGCCGGAGGCCTGCCACTTGATGGTGCTGGTCGTGACGCGGGTTGTGCGCGTCGTGCTCGTCGTGCGCGTCGTCTGGCCGGCGGCCGAGGACGCCAGGAGCAGCAGAGTGCCGAGGAGGGAGAGCTGGGTCATGTTGTCTTCCGTCGTGGTGTGGCGTCTTGGTGTGTGTCTCTGTGTGTTGCTATGTTGATGGATGCCATCCAGGGCCGGCTCCTCACCACACAGAGAGCTCTCATTATATCGGCTTGCCTCTTCTCCACGCAGACGCCCGGTCAGCGTCCTGTTCTCTGCTCGAAAGGCTGCTTGGCACTCCTAGTCGTGGCACATAATTCTTCCGGCGGAGGTGTATATTGTTTTGGCGACGCATCTGCAACATGACCCCTTTGGCAGGTCAGGGTCCCGCGCAGAGCAGCGATCCTACTGCTTCCAACGCGGAGAGCCAGGATCCGGCAAGGACCTGTTGGCGGGATCACAACCTGGCCCGAGGTCGGGCGTTGTGCAGGGAGGGCGGGCGTGCAGGGGCGCCAGCTTCCTATTCCAACGACAAGGCGTTGTTCCTCCACCAACCGGGTGATCCTTGCGGGGAGCAGGATCGCCGGGGGCTTCGGTACATCTCTCCAAGGGCGTAGATCGATGCAGTTGACGGCACATGGTGGCTGATGGGAACCCCGCAATCTTGATCGGGAAAACAAGCTTCTCTTTGATGCTTAAAACAAGGATCGGAGATTGTGTGGGCTCGCTTGCCTTGGTTCGGGACCCATGGCGGCAGGTCCTTCTTGAGGCATCGATGAGCAGCACCCTTCACCGGTCTATGGTTGCAACGCCGGTGCAGTGCAGGACACTGAATGCTCGACTGTTGCCATCTTTATTGCATGAGTGTGATGATCACCTTGATGCCTCGATGCCCTGCAATGTAGTTAGATCCAGAGCCATCCTTGGTTAGAAAGACGAAGAAGCCCAAGCATGCTAGCCCATATCAGCTCTGTCGTGAGAGCAAAGGCTCGTAGTCACAGAGAAGCCATTCAAGAGTGGTCAGTACGAGAGACAACCGCACCCAAGGGTGATTTCAGTCTGGCCAAGGAACCAGCTCTGACGGGTTCGCCAGGCCTCTGGAGACTTACCAGGGTCTCGGATCAGGTACACGGCAGAGACCCGCAGCAGCCATCGATCATATTGTCCCATTCATTCCGTGGTTTCTACAGCGAAAGTAAAGTCTATGCTAAGTCTGGTATCACATTTCCATTTTTGTACTCACATCTCCCATGGCCGCAACGTCCTCCCGCGCTACACGTGGCGGCGCTCGTCCTGGTGCCGAAGCCTCAAGCGCCTAAGCATCCTTGCTCGGCTCGATGCCGTAGGCTCGCAGCGCCGTACCGGCGAACAGCTCGGCCTGGTCCTCGGGGTCCATGGTGGCCATGTAGCACATTCGCTCGACGAGCAGCTTCCACTTGCGCCAGGAGGCGTCGTCGACGGCGGCGCCGTCGCGCACGGTGCAGACGGGCCAGTCGGAGGCGAACATGGTGCGGCGCGGCCCAAAGGTGGCGAGGACGATGCCGAGCCAGGCAAAGAGGGCCTCGAAGATGGCGTCGGGCGGCTGGGAGGACAGCGACGGGGCCATCTCGGCGAAGCCGCCCGAGAGCTTCATGTAGGTCTTGTCGCACTTGGAGAGGGAGTACATGGCGTTGCGCCAGTGCTGGAAGGACGGGTCGGCCGTGTTGATGACGGTGAGGTCGGGCTTGCAGAGGTGGTTGACGATGACGGTGACCTTTTCGTCGTCGGGGACATCCTTGTGGGCGAGCTGGATCATGACGAGGGCGTCCTCGAGCTGCTGCTTGCCGCGGCGGTGCTGGTCGACGCCGAGGTCAAAGGTGAGGCCGCGGCGGCCGAGCAGCTGGAGCGAGCGCACAAAGTCGTACTCGATGCCCGTGCCGTGGGGCTTGTCTTGGAGGAGGTAGCGCACGCCGCGGATCTTGGGCCAGGCGACGGGGCCGGCGACTTCCTGGACGCGGTCGAGGTAGCGGTCGAGGACTTCGGGCCCGGAGGGCAGCGGGGCCCAGGGGACGATGCCCAGGCACAGGGAGGCATCGGCGGCCGAGTGGCCCTCGCCCTCGCGCGGCGTGCCCTCGACGATGCGGCGGAGCCAGGCAACCTCGGCGAGGGGGCCCTCCCAGCCAGACCCGTCGGCGGCGCCGCTGGCGAGGTCGTGCTTGCGGTCGGTCTCGAGGAAGATGAAGCCCTTGAGGTTGGACGGGTTGCCCGTGGCGGCACGGTATTCGTCCACGGAGCGTTGTGCGGCAATGGGGTTCTCGGGGGTGGCCCAGGCGAGCGAGTCGACTTCTGAGGAGGGGTAGAGGTGGATGTGGGAGTCGATGATGGGGTAGTCGGCCATGATGACGGTTCGCAGCTGGCTTTTCGCAATTGTATCCAGGTACTTCAGTCGTAGTAGCTTTTCGCGATGATGTCCCAGTATAGATGGGCAAGAGTCGAAGTCAGTGGGAGGCAGGTTGTGGTGATGTTGAACACGTGAAACATCTTCAAATGGCGGGGTATTCCCATTCCTTCTCTCAACTGAGGTGAGCTGCCTGCCTGTATGCTCCTGCTCGCCCACCCCCGAACCGACGGGACAGAGCAACTGGTCCCTGAAAGTCGCAGCTACCCCGCCAAATTATTGGCCCAACCTTGCCAACCTACTCCCGTCTAGTCTGTCCAGTGGGTGGAGGGAAGTGACGTTGGGGGTTCCACAGCTTCTGTTCTTGGTGCCACGACTTCCCTTGCTTTCTCCCGAAACCCGAGCGCTTGAGGTTTGGCCGTGAAAGGTACGCAATACCCAAGACGCTGAGAATACATCACGAAGCATAGCAAGAATATTCACAAGCAATGGAGAATCTGTCCATGTGAGTCTTCTCACCCGGTGCATCCAGACAAGCATTACCGCCATGATCCTTGCATTACGGCCCGGTCACCGCCTGCCTCTGCTTACACACATTTGTACCCGTGCCAAGCGACCTTGCACGCCAGTACTGAGCAGTAGCCAACGGCAGAGACTTGTCACCTCACACTGTTCTGGTAGACCAAGACTCCTACTGCATGTCTCTCGGGTTCTGTAGGGCACCTTTTCAACATTTACGCGCTGCCGTTCTATTTACCTACGCCCAGGCTCAGAAAACATCAGATTCTCACAACGTCTTGAGCGTCAAGACAGCCGTGAGCTAGTACAGCACCTGGCCTCCAATAACACGTCCAGATCTACAGTGCTCCACTGAGATAGCCGACGGCAAAATACCACCACACCACAAGTATACCACCGTGAATTCATATTTACATCACCCATGGCACATTACACGCATAGATTCAAACGTCATCTATTGAGGGCGGCAACCTGTATCTTGACTTTTGCTTCGCCCAAGGGAGGAACCGGCTTGCTCAGACTTTCCCACCGTCCAGTCGAGGCCAGCTACTTGTATCAATTTCCCACCCGCGAACGGAGGAGGGAGCAGCGCGCTTTCGCCCGAACATGCTCAAGCCTCCTCCCGTCGCATTATCCACCCTGGAGTCACGGTTCCGCAGGTCGCCCCCTTCCGATGGACCGACCATTGCTCGGCCTTGCTCAGGCTGGCCGGGGATCAGTCACCGGGAGACGGACCTGACGAAAAGCTCCACTGTCAGTCGGGTAACCAAACCGACGTTGATTATTGTTTTCGAAAAAATAACGACGTGATCGTCACGCGGCCGGCGGTCCCCCCCCTTTCGTCTTGTCGGAAACGACAGGACCAACGGGAAACCACCGGCGACGCGGGGTCGCAGCATCGACCACTTGTAGCGAGGGCGCCGGGACAACCGGCAAGCCCCGAGGACCAGCTCGGGGGCGAAACCGCTGCCGACGACACCTCTGTGGATGACGTGGGCGGGCGAGCATCAGGCCGCCCAGCGCGTCCCTTGTATCCTCTGTCGAGGTTCAAGGCGCGTGGGGAGAGGGCGGCCTGCGTCGCCCGCAGCGAGTAAGGGAATGTACAGCCGGGGGAGGGGCTTTTTCTCTCATGTGTGTGTGTGTGCATGCGCGTGATTGCGTGTGTGTTTCCGGCACCTCCGGCGTCCTCTGTCACAGTGTCTCACGCATCGTTTAGCGGACGACGATGCCGTTGCGGCGAGAGCCGGAGGCGGAGACGGAGTGCTTCTTGTACGACGCGGGCTCGACCTGGTACTCGTCATCCTCCGAGATGGAGGAGGAACAGTCGGAGCTCGAGTCGCCGTAGCCGCAGCGGTCGCCGCCACAGTCGATCTTGACGCGCTCGCCCTTGCGGGTGATGCCGTAGCGCTCGCAGGTGCAGGAGCTGACGTCGGAGCCGGGTGTCGAGTAGCCAGACAGGGACGACGAGGGGCTGGAGCTGTCAGAGCGGTAGGACAGGGACGAGCCGGTGGAGGAGACGGGCGAGTTGCTGAAGTCGGTGACCATGTCGTCCTCGTCAAAGCCGGCGGCGCCGAAGCGGGCGGTCAGCTCGTCGATGGTCTCGTCGTCGCAGTAGTCGGCGTCGAGGATGTGACGGGTGGCGTGGGGCGACATGGGCTTGGGAGCCTTGATCTGCGAGGTCGACAGGGGGCGGCCCTTGGGGATGTCGACGGACAGGCCCGAGGCGCGGTGGCGCGAGGAGCGGTGCTCGCGGGACCTCTCCTTGTCCTTGCTGGAGGAGGACGAAGAGCTGTGGCGAGACGAGGAGGAGGAGCTCTTGTGGGACGAGGAGTGCGATGACCTGGACGAAGACTTGGACGAGGACGAAGAGGACTTGTGGGAGCGGGAAGAACCGTCGGTGGGGACGTCGAGGATGTTCAGGGCGCGGCCAGTGGTGGGCTCAACGGTGGACGTGACGCTGGGGTTGTGGGCGACGTGGTAGCCGTCAATGATGTAGTAGTACCAGTAGCGCTGACCGGGCTCGAGCGTGGAGCCCTGGAACTTGAAGGTGCCCTTCCAGGAACCGGACTTGGAGGACGTCTTGTCCTTGGAGAGGGGAAGCTGGCCGACGTAGTTGTCCCAGGAGCCGAGAAGGTGGACGGTCTTGACGCCTGAAGAGACGCGGAGAGAGAAAGAGAGTTGAATGGCAGACATTTTCGCTGGTGATTTGACTATGACGAGACTGCGGGATGAGTGTATTTTCTGGTGTTGAAGATGTGTTCGAGCAAGAAACTCCAGGTTTCGTTGATTAGTTGTTTGGGGGGGTAGTGGTGATTAGACGATGCAGACAGAAATCATGGGGACACAAAAAAGGTGTTGGTTTCAGTAACAAAATAAAGTCTCTCTTGACACCAGTTGACCGGCAACTCTGCTTGATGGTTGTGAGTTGGTGTTGGCGGTTTGGTGTGTTGTTTGTTGAATTAGAGACGATGAGGGTAGAGGCCAGCTCTGGAGAACGCAAAAACGAACCACAAGGGGAAAGGGGAGGAGACACAACGAGAACCTGAAATTAGAGATTTGGATGCTTGCTACAGGAGAGAAAAAGAGGAAAGGAAGGGCAAGTTGGTTGGGAAGGCTATGGGTTATATGGTAGGCCATCGATCGCGGCCCGCAGGGGAGGGCCCGGCAGCAAGAGGTCGACAACGATGCGTGTGGTACGCTTCCATGGTGACCACCCCTCGCCGTCCTTTCTCCTTGGTTCCCGTTTGTCACAACGAGCTACATGGGCTGTACATGGGCTGTCCCGTCCGATGGAAGCATGCGAATTAGGGTGGAGCGACACAAGAGCCCGTCACTCGAGGGGCTGACCCAATGAGGAGGCCATCGAGGGCACCACAAGCTGTGGATGGCGGACAGAAGCAAGTAGCATCACACTGGCGGTCGACTGGGGCGATGGCATGTGCGTGTGTGCTCATCTCTCCTGGCGGGCCCTCCGTCCATCCATCCAGAGACGAGGAGACAGGGAAGACGGCTCCGGGTGGTGCTGACGTTTGGGGCCGCTGCGTGGTGGTTTGTGGTGATGGGTGGTGATGGGTGGTGATGGGTGGTGATGGGTGGTGATGGGTGGTGATGGGTGGTGATGGGTGCTGATTAGTGGTGCTGAGCATTGGGTGCAAGGCGAGGTTCATCGCGGTACCTCGAGAAAGTGGGGCTCGAGAGAGAGACAGAGAAAGCTGCAGGAGCCGGCGGCTACAGAGCTCAAGGCTGTGGGAAAGAGGGAAAGAGGGGAAAGAGAGAGGGACGGGTCCGGCACTAGGCAGGTGTCGGCGGTCGTCGGGCGTCTATGATGGCATTTTGATTGGCTGGTCGCCTACACGACACCCCTGGTCTGTGGCCAGGCCGCCTATCAGCCATCACGCGGCATGCGCCAATGAGACGTTGTTGCTGCCCTCGACTCGTCTGCGCTGTGGCTGGCGACCTGTATTGTGGCCCTCCACAAGCACAAGGTCTTCTATCGCTCGCTGCCTGTATCCTGCTGGCGTGCTGGCGTGCTGGCGTGCTGTGCTGTGGAGCCACCACCATATGGCAACTCGGGCAAACAGGTTGACCACGACGACGACGACGACGACGACTTCGAACCACAGCGCCAATGCGCGCCATTCTCCTTCCCTTTGTGCTCGTTGCCGAGTGGCTTACGCCTGCACCCTGGCACATATTGACTGACTGCGTCACGAACGGTGATCAGGTCCCATGCCGCCGCCGGGCCGCTTCTCATTGGAGGCACCACGACACCCACTATCACTATGCAGCTCGTCAGTGCTGGAGCGGCACGACGATCGCACGAGTCGGAGCATGAGATGAGATCGAGGTTCCCACGTCCCTTGTGTTGTCAAATGGCACCTCGATATCTGGTTCAGCTCACACCATAGGTAGGAAGCATCCGTTCGCTGTGTCTCTCGACCATGATGCGCAAGACAGTCGACCGAGAAGTCAAGCATTGGGGGTTCTGACAGGTCCTGTTGCCCCACGCACGGAGCACAGACAAACTAATAATAGCATGCTGGTACCCAGCTTGGCACAATGCTGATCGTCGGTCGAGCCTGGTGAGCGGTCGTGGTGCTGGGGAACGCTGCCCCTCGGCCACTTCGGAGCGATCCCCCTCTTTCGTCGGACCACGACGGATATGCATTCACTTTACATTTCTAGCCTGCCATGCATCGCATGTCTGTCCTCTCCCCACCACCATCCCAGCTGAAGAAAGGGAGAATGAGTGATCTATTGATTTTTCGGTTTTTTTGCTCAACTGGTCCAGGCGCAAGGTGTGCCGGCCGGCTTCATGCCAACCATGCCCGAAACCTCCGGCGGGCACGTTTGCTTCTTCTCACTGGACC